CTTTATCTCTATGGCTTATAATATATATTATAGCTTATATTAACACTAATTATTTAATATACTTCCCACTAGATTATAACGTTAACGTATCCTACTACGCGACCGATTCCTCTACTGCTAGATTGCGTAGTAGACTTAATATGCCTTAGATAGATAATTGGCATAAGTACTATTATGTTATAGATGTAATACGCACTAATGGCGAACCTAGAAGATATAAACTAGTGCTTTTTTACCTACCTACTACTTCTCCCACTTACGATATTCTATGGTATGTAAGATTTTGGGATCCACTTCCTATGGCTTAGCTGACAAAGTATTTAAGTGCTTTTAATAACTAGGTATCTACCTGGACTATATAATATCTACCTCGTTAAGCTTACCATACCTATAGCTGGCGGCTTAAGTCCTCTCAATATCTAAATCAGCTATTTTGGTAAACCGATTCCCATCTCTCCTTAATTTTTTTTGGGGGGGGGAGGCTAATGGCCCTATATAGGGTTATGCTCTAGATTATTATTAAATCTTGCCTATATGCCTTCATAGGGCACGGTGGTATTAATCTTAATGTTAAAGCTTTAATAATATGCCGCTCTACCTCTAAATGGTACAAATCCTAAACCACTTATCCAGTTCGCCCTCACGCTTTAGGGTCGCATATTCCCCCCCCTTCTAGCTATATTAGTAGCAATATTCTACGTTACGCTAGTCTCGTTTACTCTTTTAAAGCTTTACATCCACAAAGGCTAATAAGTAATGCCAAAAGACCCCCCTATAGCCGTTTGGCAACATATAGAGACATATAGAAAATGGATACTCCTCTTATTCTAGGTAGCTACGGGACTAGCACTTGCCTCTACTATTACTATAACCTAAACGGCGGCAGCTATTAAATTCGTTACACTATAGCTAGTCTCCTCTAGTAACGGCACAGCATCAGCTACTATAGAAAATAGTAGTGGATCTTCTCTAGGTCTATTTACATTCATAATTACTATAGGGAAGGTATAGTAAGCACTCTAGTGGTCTACTATAGCATGTATATTCATCTTCTCGTTGGCTATATTAGCCATGCATAGTTAGTCATTTATTAAGGATATACGCAACCCCTACTTAGGTAGAGCACCCTTACCCCTACTACCTAAGCTAGGAGGTAGTGCTACACCTATAGTAGTAGCTATAAAGCCGCCAGGCCCTACTCTAAAACCATAAGGCGATGGAAAAGATATTATCCTAGTAGCTATCTCCCTACACGATTTACTTAGCTAGTAGTAATGTTCTTTAGATAGCTTAGTAATACACTTTATCTATAGCCTTTAACACTCTCCCCCTCCTTTCTCTACTAGGATAAATCGACTTTAATCCTCAACTCTATTATGTTTAGCCTAGTGGTAGAATCCACCTACTAACTCTCTTAGAATAACTAGAGGGCCCACCACCTACCCTTTTTAGAGTTTATCTTTTTTCTTTACTTATTAATACCTCACTTTATAAGCATACCTTTTTATTTAATAACCCTATCTTTTCTTTAGCGCTATTCCTTTCTATATTACCTAAATAGTAACTACCATAGCGTTACTTATAAACTCTCCCCACACCCTTACTATTAATCGTCTCCTAAGCCATATCTAATAAGCCTGGAACTTTTGCTTACAGTCGCCCTAAAAACCATACTACTAAATAATCACTAATCCCTCTTTAATCCCTATGGCAACTCTTACTAGCGGAATTACTACGTTCGGCCACTAGTACTTATTATTAATATCCTACCCTATTGTACACCACCTCTGGCTAACCTAGCACCTTTAGTAGTTATAATAATCCCTAGCGTTATGCACGCCCCTCTAAAACCAATCCAACTCTACGCCTATATATAGCTTCTCTACCTTATACTATATAGTCTTATGTGCTTACCAGTCCCTATTACCTAGCACCCAGCACATTATACAGCCTACTTATAACTTACTTATAAACTCCTCTACCTCCTACCAGCCACTAACTACTTCTAACTATAATTATTACCACTCGGCTTACCCCTCCCTATATTAATCACACCCTACTAACTTAATATTATTATATACTACCTATATACCATCTATATACTTACTTATATATCCTTATTGGCATCCATCACTCTAAATAAATGTGCCTATTACGTAGATATCTATAGAATCCCTACTTTACTATAGCTACCTCTCTACTTCGCCCTACTCCATAATAATAACTAAGTTGGCAACCTTACCACTATACCCAGCCTACCCACTCTCCTAATAGTAGTTAATTATACTCTATAGTATCCCCACGTGTAAGACAAATATAATACTAGGAAAGTCCACCCTAGTGCCAAGCATAGATGTAGTTATAATAAAGCCCCCTTACGCTAGCCACCGCTC